CTTTGGGAGGCCAAGGTGGGAAGATCACTTGAGTGCAGGAGTTTGAGACCAGCCTGGGCAACATAGCAAGACCCCATCTCATAAAAAAGAAAGATGCACACACACACACACACACACACACACACACACACACACACACACAAACATATATACATATAGTAGCTATTTTTCTAGCAAGACCCCATCTCATAAAAAAGAAAGATGCGCGCGCGCGCGCGCGCACACACACACACACACACACACACACACACACACACACACAAACATATACACATATAGTAGCTATTTTTCTAGTATAACCCTGATATGGTAACAATCCTGAAGGCAGCACATAAATGAGTCAAGTCTTGGCATGGCCTCACATTCACTCTCCTCCCCAGGAGACCATGCATGGTTGACAGCTCAGGGCAGGCGGCTTTGCAAGGTTGGGGCCAAACTCTCCACTTGCTTCTCTTGTCTTGATTTCCAGTACTTTGAGTACACGACTCAGAGGGACCTTCGTCACAACATTGCAAAGCAGCTGTGTCTACATGCCAGCAAGGGTGCTCTGGGCCTGAGGAACTGTCACTTCACTGGCAAGAATAGCCAGGTCCCCAAGGACGAGGAATGGGAATTGACCCAGGTGAGTCGGTGTCCATAAAGCTCAGAATCAAGAACTTGAGGCCAGGCGTGGTGGCTCACGCCTATAATCCCAGCACTTTGGGAGGCTGAGGCAGGAGGATCATGAGGTCAGGTGTTTGAGACCAGCCTGGCCAACATGGTGAAACCCTGTCTCTACTAATAATACAAAAATTAGTTGGGCATGGGGTTGTGCACCTGTAATCCCAGCTACTCGGGAGGCTGAGGCAGGAGAATTGCCTGAACCTAGGAGGCGTAGGTTGCAGTGAGCCGATCCCACCACTGTACTCCAGCTTGGGTGACAGCAAGACGGGGGTGAAGAAAAAAAGAAAGAAAAAAGGAACTTGAGGCCATATTGGCCCCTCTGTATTTTCTTCATTTTCTTGCTGAGATGCCATGGGCTAGGTAGAGCAATGTATAAGGTAGGTGAGTGTGAGCATGGCCACAGGCAGGGTTCTTGGGGCTTAAAGGGTATTTGGTGATGACTGATGTAAAGATGGGGTCAGAGTTTATGGTTCATGGTTAGCTCTACCACGGCTCAAGCATTTTTAGGCTGAACCCAATTAAATGAAGGGGAAGAGTCATTCATGGTTCCTGTTTGTCCTGTGTCCCGGACTCAAAGCTAGGCACTCACATACCTGGGTCTGGTTGATCTTTCAGAGGCTCTTTCCAAGCAGGAAGTGTCCCCGTTTCTGCAGATGAGCTGGAGCTGGAGGAAGCCTAGCATGTCTGTGACTGGGCCAAGACCCATCACTAATAAATGGCAGGCCTGGGATTCAGCCCCAGATGGATCTGACTTGAAAGCACGGGCTCTTTCTGTTACACCACACTGCTCCGGGATATGCCATGCAATCGCCACCATGCTGAGCTCAACCCTAGTGAGCCTCTATACTCCACCCCAGTTTAGGAAAGAGAAACCTGGCCGGGCACGGTGGCTCACGCCTATAATCCCAGCACTTTGGGAGGCCGAAGTGGGTGAATCACAAGGTCAAGAGATCAAGACCCTGGCCCTGGCCACCATGGTGAAACCCCATCTCTACTAAAAATACAAAAATTAGTTGGGCATGGTGTCATGTGCCTGTAATCCCAGCTACTTGGGAGGCTGAGGCAGGAGAATCACTTGAACCTGGGAGGTGGGGCTTGCAGTGAGCCAAGAGCACCACTGCACACCAGCCTGGTGACAGAGTGAGACTCCGTCTCAAAAAAAAAAAAAAAGGAAAGAGAACCCTAACCTTGAGGCTGCAGGGAAGGGAGCAGTCTAAACATAGTCCAAGGCAGAACGCTGGAGGTGGAGCAGTGGCCCTGGGTCTTTGAGCCTGGCCATCTGTGGAGGGGGAGGCCCTGAAAGCATTTTTTTCTCAGCCCACGGTCTTGTCTTTCACCATTTCCTCCACTGAGGCTGAAGCTGGGGATGGGGATTTGGCACCAGATAGAGGTGGGAATTCAGGAATGCATCTCATGGGATGGCAAGAAAGAAATAGGAAAGTATCCTCCTTTTGCTTTGTGGGGTTCCCTCAGCCTTTCATCAATTGTACCCCCTTGCATTGTCCCCAGTAGCATTGTTAGAGTCTGTGGCCCAGATTGACCCTTTGCTCTGTCATCTTTTAGGATCAGCTCATCAGGAACTCAGGATCTGGTACCTGCCTGACATCCCAGGACAAAAAGCCAGCCATGGCCCCCTGCAATCCCAGGGACCCCCATCAGTTGTGGCTCTTTGTCTAGGACCCAGATCATCCCCAGAGAGAGCCCCCTCAAGCCCCTCAGGAAACAGGATTGCTGATGTCTGGGAACCTGATCACCAGCTTCTCTGGAGGCTTTAAAGATGGACTTCTAAGCCTACTGGGTGGCGAGGCAGGACCTTCCTACTCCTTGCAACAACACTGGGCCCATTTTCTTTCCTTCACACTGACAGAAGAGACCATTAGGACATATATTTAGCCTAGGGTTTTCCTTCTGTCCTAGAAACAGAGGCTTCCAAAGCAGGGAAGGCAACTGGAAGAGGGTCCAGGGCAGCAATGCTGAGCTCAAGAAACGTACTGCAGGCTGGGCGCAGTGGCTCACGCTGGAAATCCTAGTACTTTGTGAAGACAAGGTGGGAGAATGGCTTGAGCCCAGGAGTTCAAGACCAGCTTGAGCAACATAGTGAGGACCCCATTGCTACCCACCCCTAAAAAACATAACTGGGCATGGTGGCTTATGCCTGTAGTCTCTGCTACTCAGGAGGCTGAAGTGGGAGGATTGCTTGAGCCCGGGAGGTTGAAGCTGCAGTGAGCCTTGATCATGTCACTGCACTCCAGCCTGGGCAACAGGTGAGACTCTGTCTCAAAAAAAAAAAAAAAAAGAAAAGAAAAAAGGAAAGGAAAAGTACTTCTACAGCCATATCCTGATTCCTTGATCATCCAAAGTACCTGCAGAGTCCAGTGAAGTGGTATATTCTCGCCGGGCACGGTGGCTCATACCTGTAATCCTAGTTCTTTGGGAGGCCCAGGTAGGCAGATCACCTGAGGTCAGGAGTTTGAGACCAGCCTGGACTACATGGTGAAACTCTGTGTCTACTAAAAATACAAAAAGTAGCTGGGTGGGGTGGCAGGTGCCTGTAATCCCAGCTACTTGGGAGGCTGAAGCAGAAGAATCGCTTGAACTCGGGAGGCAGAGGTTGCAGTGAGCCAAGACCACGCCATTGCACTCCAGTATGGGCAACAGGAGCAAAACTCCATCTCAAAAAACAAAAAGTATATCCTAACAGACGCATTAGAAGTCTAAGCGAGCCTCCCTTGCTAATATTACCTGAAGTTTGTAGAACCGTTTACAGATAGCTCTCTGACAGGTGTCCTTTATCTTACTTTATCTGTACAGTAATCTGTGAGAAAGACAGGACAGAAACCAGTGTGCCCATTTTACAGATAAGAGAACTGAGACACAGAGAGGTAAAGGGGTTTGTCTGTAGTCTCATAGCTAGCAGATGGCTGGAGCCAAGGCTGAGGCTCGCTCTTCAGCGCTGAGCCAGGGCTCCTTCCACTGTACCACGAGAACACTAGACCACTTGCCACCAGCCTTTTCGTTCCTTCTTCCTCCATTCTGATCATTTCTAGCTGGGTGGCCTCCATAGAGCCTAGAAAAACAGAGCCAGGGCTGGGCGCAGTGGCTCACACCTGTAATCCCAGCACTTTGGGAGGCTGAGGCAGGCAGATCACCTGAGGTTGGAAGTTCAAGACCAGTGTGGCCAACATGGTGAAACCACAACTCTACTAAAAATACAAAAATGAGCCAGGTGTGGTGGCGCAAGCCTGTAATCCCAGTTATTCGGGAGGCTGAGGCAGGAGAATTGCTTGAACCCAAGAGGCAGAGGTTGCAGTGAGCCAAAACAGCGCCACTGCACTCCAGCCTGGGCAACAAGAGTGCAATTCTGTCTCCAAAAAAAAAAAAAGAAAAGAAAAACAGAGCCAGGTAGCCATTGTGGAGAGAGCACACTTAGGACTCCTGGGACGTTAGTGTTAAAAGAAAGCTCCTGGAGCCGGCGATTCTCAAGTTTATCCCAGACCCCTTTTTTCAAAGCCCTATGTAAAAGGTAGATAAAAAGCAAAGCAGTATGAGTGAAATTAGGAGAGGGACAGGCAATGCCTCCCACCCCTAACTTCTAAAGGTCTGGAAGCACAACGTGAAAATCGTGTAGCCCAGCCCTATCATTTTCATATTCTGAAACTGAATCCAGATAAGTGAATCTGTCCAAGGTCACCCAGCAAGCTGTCAGCAGCCCTGAGGGTCAGCAGACCCTCCGATAAGGCTCAGGGGGGTCTTGGAAAGCCTGAGGCAGCAGGAAGAGTGTGCAGAGTTCAGCGTGCCTGGAAGGCTGATCCACTGCTGGGCCCACGTGAAGCCCGGATGGGGAGCAGACCCCACTGCATATGGCTCTTTTCCTGCAAGAAGAGTCCGTCCCGCAGAGGACGAAAATTCCATCCGGGAAGGCTTCTTTTGACTTTCAATAGCAGGCTGTCACCACATGAGGGTGCTATGGGACCACAGCTGCCTCTTGTTCCCACGCAACTCAATCCTGCAGGAGCCCTCCCAGGTCCCTGAGAGCCTTCTAGACCCTATACAGGAGACATTCTGGGGTAGACCAGCCAAAAGGAAAGTAGAGAGTGGCCAGGGTACGCCCTGGAGTAGGGAAAGGAAAAAGTTCCTGGAAAGAGAAGAGAATTGGACAAGCGGTCTCGAAGGAAATAAAGGTTTTCTGGCATTGCTAACGGAAACTGGTGGTGTGTTCCTCCTGTCTGCGTTGTCCCTTAGCTGAATCAGTTGATTTGGGCTATGAAGAACCACACACATCTGAAAAGTTCGATTACAGCCACTGTCTCGTGTCCCCAAACATTCTCTGGCCCTAAATCTAGCCTGTGTATTGTGTCAAGCATGTGGAGACACGAGACATGAGTGAAGCATGAGACTAGGTCCTCTCCCCGTGGAACTCACACGCTAAACGTAGGAAAATCACAGCAAGCCTAGAGATGCTCCAAGTGGTGCTGGATGAGTTAGAAGGAGCAATTCCTTCCACTGAGGGAAGCAGGTGAGGCTTCATAAAGATGGCAGTGTTTGACCTAAGGAGGATGAGCCTTCAGATGGGAAGGGCTCAATAAGCAGAGATGTCACACAGGCAGCAGCCCGGCAGGAGCAAAGCCACAGAGGACATGTAGCCACAGTGGGTCTGAGTGAGGGAGCAATGGGTGCAGAAGCTGGAAGTCAGGGTTACATCATGAATTTCAGGAGCCCGAGGCACTTTGGCCTTCACAGCTCTTGATCCATTAGGAAAAAAATCTTTGGACTGGGTGTGGTGGCTCATGCCTGTAATCCCAGCACTTAGGGAGGCCGAGGCAGTCAGATCATGAGGTCAGGAGTTTGAGACCAGCCTGGCCAACATGGTGAAACCCTGTCTCTACTAAAAATATAAAAATTAGCTGGGCATGGTGATGGACACCTGTAGTCCCAGCTACTCGGGAGGCTGAGGCAGGAGGAAGTTTCTCGCTTGAACCCAGGAGCCAGAGGTTGCAGTGAGCCGAGATTGCACCATTGCACTCCAGCCTGGGCAACAGGGCAAGACGGTCTCAAGGAAAGAAAAAACTTAATTTTATAACTATGTTGGTATAAAGATGAATGTAATCCAGGCTGATTATATTTACTTTATATCTTCTGGTTTTAAAATAAGCTAAGACATTTCTATGGGTCCTGGGCACTGTAGCTACTATGCCTTCTGGGTAACTCAGCCCCGTAGAAGAGTTGGTTGGAGCCCAATTGAGAAAGGCTTTGGTAGGTCTGGTAACCCACAGGGAGTCATGGACCCTAACCCCAGCCTTATTCTTGGTTGCATTAAACATCCAGCATGGATCCCAGTATCCCTCATATTGTCTGTGGTATCACCCAACAGCTCCCCAGCCCAATCATATGATGTAGCCCAACCAAGGTGCCCAGCTGTGCCAAGAAGGTTCCACCTACCTACCCCCAAATAGCATAGCACTTCCCAGGCGCAGTCAGCCAGGAGTTACTCCCAGGGAGTGGGAGATGCAGCAGGAGGGAGACACAGGCTGTGCCTAGAGAGTAGGTCTGGGACTAGGGAAGGGAGGTGGTAGAGAAGAGGGAGAGGGCACTGATGGGAGTGGCAGGAAGGCTCAAGAAACTAGCTTCGACTGGGAACCAGTGGTTCATCCCTGTAATCCCAGCACTTTGAGAGGCCAAGGCAGGTGGATCACTTGAGGTCAGGAGTTTGAGACCAGCCTGACCAACATGGCGAAACCCAGTCTCTACTAAAAATACAAAAATTAGCCAGGAATGGTGGCAGGCATCTGTAATCCCAGATACTAGGGAGGCTGAGACACAAGAATCGTTTGAGCCTGGGAGGTGGAGGTTGCAGTGAGCTGAGACTGTGTTCCAGCCTGGGTGACAGAGCCAGAGCAAGACTCTGTCTCAAAAAACAAACAAACAAGAAACTAGCTTCATGTCCTTCCCCTTAGTCAAGCCTAGCCTGGCCCTAACAATACCCATATTCTTCCTTACCACCCACCCCTCTGACCACTCTCAGCTGACCTAAGGCTCTTACCTCTTAAAACCCTGCAGCCAGCCCTGTGCTGCTATCTCCTGGTTCCAGGAGCCTCTCACTTTAGGATTAAAGGGCTGGACCCCTCTGGGGATCTGTTTCCCACGGGAAGAGTATTGGGGCCATTGCCAAAAATACCTGGATGTCCCAGAAATTTTTCTTTTTTTTTTTTTTTTGAGACTGAGTTTCGCTTTTGTCACCCAGGCTGGAGTGCAATGGTGCAATCTCGGCTCACCGCAACCTCTGTCTCCTGGGTTCAAGCAATTCTCCTGCCTCAGCCTCCCGAGTAGCTGGGACTACAGGCGTGCGCCACCATGCCCAGCTAATTTTTGTATTTTTAGTAGAGACAGGGTTTCACCATGTTGACCAGGATGGTCTCGATCTCTTGACCTCATGATCCACGTGCCTCAGCCTCCCAAAGTGCTGGGATTATAGGCGTGAGCCACCGCGCCCGGCCTATTCATATTTTTAATTACAAAAGTAATACTGTGCCTGCCTGGCTAACATGTCAAAACCCCGTCTCTACTAAAAATACAAAAATCAGCTGGGTGTGGTGGCATGTGCCTGTAGTCCCAGCTACTCGGGAGGCTGAGGCAGGAGAATCGTTTGAACCCAGGAGGCAGAGGTTGCAGTGAGTCCAGATCGTGCCACTGCGCTCCTGCCTGGGTGACAGAGTAAGACTACATTTTTTCTTAAAGTAATGCTGTGGAGAAAAGTCAAATGATATAGAAAAGTGAGGTTTAAAAAAGTGAAATTTGTCTTTCTCTATTGCAGTTAAAAAGAAAAAAAGTGAAACTTGCTACTCAGGAGGCTGAGGTAGGAGGATCACTGGAGCCCAGAAGGTTGAGGCTGCAGTAAGTTGTGATCACGCCACTGCATGCCAGCCTGGGCAACAGAGAGAGACTTTGTCTAAAAAAATAATAAATCTGCATAGTATTCTATAGCAGGGTTAAACCCAATTTATTCAGCCTTCCTCTGTTAATGAATACTTAGGTTTTTTCCAATTTTGCAACAAGCTTTGTGACAAACTATACTATAACCCACCACCTTGAACGTTTATTTTTGTGCCTGTTTGTCTTTTTTTATTTTTCAGGCTGGGTCTTGTTCTGTCACCTAGGCTGGAGTGCAGTGACGCAATCATGGCTCACTGCAATCTTGACCTCACATGCTCAAGGGATCCTCCCACCTCAGCCTCCCGAGTAATGGGACTACAGGCATGTGCCACCATGCCTAGCTAATATTTTCATGTTTTTTAGGGACAGGTCTCATTATGTTGCCCAGGCTGGTATCAAACTTCTGGCCTCAAGCAGTCCTCCTGCCTTGGCCTCCCAAAGTGCCAGGATTACAGACGTGAGCCACCATGCCTGACCAATGTTTACTTCAAAAGAATTTATTCCTAGAATCAGAGTGCAGTGTCAGAAAAAATGCAGTGCCTCAAAATTTAAGCCATTGTCTGGCTGGGTGCAGTGGCTCACGTCTGTAATCCCAGCACTTTGGGAGGCCAAAGTGGATGGATCACTTGAGTGCGGGAGTTCAAAACTAGCCTGGGCAACATGGTGAAGCCTCGTCTCTACACAAAATTCAAAAATTAGCCGGGCATGGTGGCTGGCACCAGTAGTCCCTGCTACTTGAGGGGCTGAGGCAGGAGGATTGCTTGAGCCCAGGAGGCGGAGGCTGCAGTGAGCTGAGATGATGCCACTGCATTCCAGCATAGGCAACAGAATGAGACCCTGTCTCAACAAAAAAAAAAAAAAAAAAAGGAAAACAAAATTTAAGGCATTGTCTATGCCTAACCCTAAGACTAAGAATTTTTTTTTTTTTTTTAGATGGAGTCTTGCTCTGTTGCCTAGGCTGGAGTGCAGTGGCACGATCTGGGCTCACTGCAATCTCCACCTCCTGTATTTAAGCGATTCTCCTGCCTCAGCCTCCTAAGTAGTTGGGTTTACAGGCACGCACCACCATGCCTAGCTAATTTTTGTATTTTTAGTAGAGACAGGATTTCACCATGTTGGTCAGGCTGGTCTGGAACTCCTGACCTCAGGTGATCCACCCACCTCTGCCTCCCAAAGTGCTGGGATTACAGGCATGAGCCACCGCACCCAGCCCTAAGAGTAATTTAATGAGTCTGACTAGATGGGAGATTAGGCCGCAGTTATGAGGCCCTTAACTTCAGTCCTAGAGTTTGGTTTTTAAGCAAATACAGATTGGGCTTCTCTGGACGAGGCCAAGGGTACAGAAGTGGATGTGAAATTGGCCCTGCTGGGTTTTTTGTTTGTTTTTGTTTTTGTTTTGAGACAGAGTCTCACTCTTGTTGCCCAGGCTGGAGTGCAATGGTCCAATCTCGGCTTACCGCAACCTCCCCGTCCTGGGGTCTAGTGATTCTCCTGCTTCAGCTCCCAAGTAGCTAGGATTACAGGCATGCACCACCATGCCTGGCTAATTTTGTATTTTTAGTGGAGACAGGATTTCACCATGTTGGTCAGGCTGATCTCAAACTCCCGACCTCAGATGATCCACCTGCCTCAGCCTCTCAAAGTGCTGGGATTACAGGCATGAGCCACCACTCCTGGCAGCCTTGCTGTTAAAGGTTCACTACTTTGGAGTATGTGATGTCAAGAGGTAACCTTCAGGAGGCCCTCAAGCCTCCTCTTGGACTCCTCATCCTGGGGCTAGAGGCCAGAGGAAGCAGGGAAGTGGGAGGAGAATGACATGGGCTCCCTGGCACAGCTCAGCCCTCTTCCCTGAGGTCCACTTTGTGCCAGAATGCTGGAGGGTGGGCTGGAGAGCAAGCCCTTCAGGTTATCGGAGCATCAAAGTGCAACTCCCCTGAACAGCTCGAGACCCTGAAAAGGGACTGTGCAGATTCCTTCAAACGGCCTTTTTCAGGCCTCTCCCACCCATGTAGCCATGAAGCTTGGATTCGGGAGTGTTTAGGCAACAAAGCCCCGGGTGAGCAGGTGATTGTCCTGCTTCTGTCTAGGTTCCCGGCTTCTCCCTGCCTAATTCCAAACCCCGTGCTTTGCTACCATCACGGCTGCACCCACAGTCCTCTGCTCTGGAGCCTGCAGTGGCTCTGATCACTTTGTGGCCAACCCAAGGGTCCTCTGCCCACCTCAAGGCACACTGAGACTCCTTTCTTTTTACGGGCTATGAGGGACAGAGCCTTTATCTCTTTCAGGAATCTCGGCTCCCCCCCTCCTGCTCCCTCTGCCCTCCACCCTCCATCCACCCTCATAGCCCTCAGACAGTCTTCATATCCTGAGGACCCCCTCCTCTACCCTGCCCCACATTCTCCTCTGGGAGCCCCTTCTTGGCTCTCCATCAAGAGGGCCCAGACCTGTTTCTCAGTACTTTCCTCCCCCAGATTCTCTCCACCGCATCTGCTTGGCTTTTGTGTCTGCATTTACACCTATATCTGCATGCTGGGTGCATGTGCCTTCTCCCTCTTTGGGCAGAAAGAGTTGCTATGTCTTCCTTGCCCTTGCTAACCACTCCCCCCTCCTATACCATCCCCCTGACCTCCAGCTGCTAGTGCACACGGCAAGTCTCTGCATTTACGGTGCCACTGAGGACAATGAGGTAGTGACGGATGATGAGGGGTACCCCCTTAGCGAAAAACCAGCCCTGGTTCTCCATCTTATTTCTGAAAACAAGTTTGTTGGATGCTTTTCAATTAAAAACAGATGATTAATTCAGCTCTGGCCTTGTTCTGTCTTTGAACAACGGATAAATTAGTTTACTTGAAAAGAAATATTTTCATTTGTATTTCCATGTCACCTGTGACTTTCCCTGCCTTCCACCCTCAGCCCTGCCAGTTGGCAAGAAGAAGGTCGGCAAAGCTGCTGATAAGAGGAGTATAAAGAGGGCTTAGTCCATGCAAGAGGCCAGTGGGCTACTCCATTGGCAACATGCTGCACTTCCTGGTGTTCGCAACCCTGGTCCTTTACGGTAAGTGGAGCATGTGGCCTGAGGTCTACAGGGAGGGGGACTTGGGTAGGAGGGTCAGCAAGCCTTTCCTAAGCCCAGGCCAGCACCCTAATCCAGGGCGGGTTGGACTAGCAAAAACTTTACTCAGGTCTAGCAAAATCTTTACTCTCCTGGAGGCCAAGATAGAGTGGGTCAGGGCCACTGGTTACTCAGGCCCTTCTGGGTGGCAGGTCCCCAGGCCACAAAGCAGAGAGAAGCCCCTTCTGGTAGCGGGATGGGTCCCTGGGCTTCCCGCCCCCGCCCATTGACAAGAAGACTTCCTCAGCAGGTACCTGGCTGGGGTGTACACTGCAGGCCCTGCCCCCTGGAGAATCCTGCCAAAGCATTAAGGGGCTGGGCCGTCAAGCAGAGGGGGACTTTTCAGTTCAAGGAGTGATCTTGAGCAAGGAGGAGACCACAAGGAGCCTCTGGGGCCTAGCCTGGTGGTTTGAGAGAGGTCCCTCACAGCATGCCAGAGTGCTGGGAATACCTGGGGGAAATAGAAGACACCCAGGCACCACTGCTTTCAAAAGGGGCTCAGGGAACTCACAGCTGGGCCCCTCGTTCTGAGAGAGGAACTGTGAATTTGCAGACAAGGTAACATTCCTCAAAGCACAACTGCCACCCCCCCACCCCTACCCCTGGCTGACCCCATGCTTAGTCATCACTCACTTTTCTTCTGCCCCACAAAGGACACAGCACCCAGGACTTTCCGGAAACCAACGCCCGGGTAGTCGGAGGGACTGAGGCCGGGAGGAATTCCTGGCCCTCTCAGGTGGGTGTTCCTTCCCAGCCCCAGACTTCCACCCAAATAAGAGTGCAGTGCGCGACATGGGGGATCATGTGTGCCTGTGCATGTTCCTATCAACAAGCAGCTCTCTAACTGTCTAGGTTCTAGATTTTAAAGATGGATGGGATCAGGCTTAGGTGGTTTTCTAAATGCAAAAGGCTTGGAGGAGGGGATTTATATACCAACCACACTCCCTTTTCAAGGCACACACCCAAATATAAGATACATTTATATTCCCAGCGACAGCACTTGTGCCACACAAGAAAGACTGGGTGCCAGACATGCACCTTGGACTCCACATACCTTGAAACTCATGCACACACCACTCCACACTGCATGTATCACACATGCTTGCACGCATGCACACACCACACAAACACACACACACACACACACGCACACACACACACACACAAAGCATGCTGCTTAGTTGGCTATTTAAAGAGTTTCCACTTTCCTAACAGGGCAGCTGGGCCCTGATTTAGGCAATCTAAATGTGTAATCCTGGCAAATTAACTGGTGAAGATCCACACTTTGAGAGGAATCACTGCAGAGTTAGATTTAGTTTACAAAAGTCTGAGCCCCAGTTTTCAGCAATAGAGCTATTACATAATATGAGGTGCTAGAGGAAGAGACATGAGCTGATAAAAATGAACATCCCAGCTGGGTGTGGTGGCTCACACCTGTAATCCCAGCACTTTGGGAGGCCAAGGCGGGTGGATTACCTGCGGTCAGAAGTTCAAGACCAGCCTGGCCAACATGGTGAAACCTCATCTCTACTAAAAATACAAAAATTAGCTGAGCATGGTGGTGAGCACCTATAATCCCAGCTACTCGGGAGGCTGAGGCAAGAGAATCACTTGAACCCAGGAGACAGGTTGCAGTGAGATGGAGTTTTGTTCTCGTTGCCCAGGCTGGAGTGCAATCTCAGCTCACTGCAACCTCTGCCTCCTGGGTTCAAGTGATTCTCCTGCCTGAGCCTCCCAAGTAGCTGGGATTACAGGTACCCGCCACCATGCCCAGCTAATTTTGTATTTTTAGTAGAGATGGATTTCACCATGTTGGCTAGGCTGGTCTGGAACTCCTGACCTCAGGTGAGCTGCCTGCCTCGGCCTCCCAAAGTGCTGGAATTATAGGTGTGAGCCACTGCTCCTGGCCTCCCATTGGTATTTCTAAGTAGTATCTGAAGTGGGGAGACAGGAGATGTCTTGAAAACACTGAAGGCAGAGCTCTGGAGACCTCAGCCTGTGGGACTTAGATGACAGACCAAACCTTTGGCTACAGTTCTTCTTTAAGAGAAAACAGAGATAGAAGGACCTGGGTTCTAGGTCCATTGCAACGACCTAGAGAAATAATGCCAGATACACCATGTGCCTTTACTCCTCATCCATGTGCACAACAAACATTACCAAACAATGGAGCATCCCTTCCTGCTGACCCCAGAAACATCTACACACCCCTTATTAATGCCACAGTCCATGTGGCCCCTATCAACCAATCAGTATCAATTGGCAGGTCAGAAGAAACCTATTTGCCATCCCTCGCCCAGAAAGAGAATGTTTTGAAGGACAGCAGGACTTTAAGGAGGTGACATGTAGTTTGAGGCAAAACCCTTTTTATTTAATTATTTTTAATTTTGTAGAGGTGGGGTCTCACTATGTTGCCCAGGCTGGTCTCCAGCTCCTAGGCTCAGTTGATTCTTCCACCTCAGCCTTCCTCATGAGCCACTGTGTCTGACCCAGGACAAAGCCTTTTGAGAAATACCAACCTATCCCTTCTTTCTTTCCTCCCCATCTAGATTTCCCTCCAGTACCAGTCTGGAGGTTCCTGGTATCACACCTGTGGAGGGACCCTCATCAGACAGAACTGGGTGATGACAGCTGCTCACTGCGTGGACTCGTAAGAAAAACAAACACCAGCTTTCCTGGGCCCCTGGAAGGGGAAGGGGAAGAGGAAGGGACTGACCCTTCTGAAGGATGACATAACTTTGCAGGACAGTACTTCCGGGGCTGGGCAGTAGCCCCCTTCCTGTTCAGGGGCCTGTGGGGGGGTAGTATGGTAAAAAGTACAAATTTTGGAGTCAGGCAGGCTCAAATTCAAATGTTGCTCCACCAAATTCTAGCTGTGTATCCTTGGGCAACTATGCCCCCATTCTCTTAACTCTCAAAAGGGCTAATAACATTTACTTTGTAGAAATGTGAGGATTGAGTAGGTATGTAAGTGTCTAGTCAACATCCGAATGGTGACTATTTTTTCCTATTTGTCTTGGGCACTGGTTTTTACATTTGAGCATGTGTCAGAATTACCTGGAAGGCACAGATTGCTGGGCCCCACCCAGCAGAGTTTCTGATTTGGTAGGTCCGGGGTGAGGCTTGATAATTTGCATTTCTAACAAGTTTCCAGGTGATGCTCACGCTGCTGGCCCAGGAACCATGCTTTAAGAACTACTAGCCTAGAAGTCAGCTGGGTGCAGTGGCTCACGTCTGTAATCCCAGAACTTTGGAAGGCTAAGGCAGGTGAATACCTGAGGCCAGGAGTTCAAGACCAGGTGGCCAACATGGTGAAAACCCATCTCTACTAAAAATAAAAAAATTAGCCGGGTGTGATGGTGAGCGCCTGTAATCCCAGCTACTTGGGAGGCTTAGGCAGAGATAATTGCTTAAAACCCAGGAGGTGGAGGTTGCAGGGAGCTGAGATTCTGCCACTGCATTCCAGCCTGGGCAATAGAGTGAGACTCCCTCTCAAAAAAAAAAAAAAAAAAAAAAAGAACTACTAGCCTAGGAGTCTATGCTTCCCTCAAAATCTTGGTGGCTGAGAGCCGTTATTTCATTTAGGCACACTATACTTCTCCCAGGTTACAAGATATTCAGCCTATAATGTCAAACTGAGAAAATGGAAGTGATGGTGGTATCTTTCACTTCCACAACTTAGTCAACTAGGGAATGAAAGAGCTTGTTACTTTCTCATTTTGGAGAGTCTTACATCCCTCCTCTCCCTGGACCAGATAAGATGGGTTCCTGTCCTACAGATAATAAACGAAACCTGGGCACAGTGGCTCACAGTTATAGTCCCAGGTACTAGGGAAGCTGCACTTGAGCCTGGGAGTTTGAAGGATCACTTGAGCCCGGGAGTTTGAAGTAGAATCACTTGAGCCTGGGAGTTTGGAGGATCACTTGAGCCTGGGAGTTTGAAGCCAGCCTGGGCAACACAGCAAGACCCCATCTCTTAAAAAAAAAAAAAAAAAAAAAAAAAAAGGAAGACATTTTCTTAAATTTAAAAAAAAAAAATGAAAGATGGTTTTCCACCTTTTCTCTAAGTGGGGGAAAGAGATTTGAGTCCCCTGGATGATTCAGTGTTTCCTTTTCTCACTCCAGCCCATTGACTTTCCGTGTGGTGGTTGGAGACCATAACCTGAGCCAGAACGATGGCACTGAGCAGTACGTGAGTGTGCAGAAGATCGTGGTGCATCCATACTGGAACAGCAATAATGTGGCTGCTGGGTAGGAGCAAATCCAAGCTGGCTCTGGGCTGGGTGGTGGAGGGCTGACTGGCCAATAATTGGCTGTCTTCACCTGGTCTTTCAGAGGGCTGGAGGGATTGCACGGCCTGAAACCTAGTCCATGGCTCCTGGCCTGGCCTTTAGTTTAGGGGACCAGCTAGCCTGAGAGAGGGCACCATGTCCTGGAGGAAGCAATCAGCTGGCTTGTTCATCCAGGAGGACTTTGAGAATTTAGGTTCTGGCTGGACATGGTGGCCCATGCCTGTAATCCCAACACAGGGAGGCCAAGGTGGGCAGATCACCTGAGGTCAGGAGTTTGAGACCAGCCTGACCAATATGGTGAAACTCTGTCTTTACTAAAAATACAAAAAAAAAAAAAAAAAAAAATTAGCCAGACACGATGGCATGCGCCTGTAATCCCAACTACTCAGGAGGCTGAGGCAAGAGAATCACTTGAATCCAGGAAGCAGAGGTTGCAGTGAGCTGAGATCATGCCACTGCACTCCAGCCCGGGTGACAGCGTGAGATTCTGTCTCAAAAGAAAAAGAGAATTGAGGTTCTGGAGGGCTTGAGAATCTTTGAAGATCTTTAGGATTTATTGGGTCCAGGCTGGTTTGCACAGTTGTATTACCTAAAGCCCCTTCTCCACAAATTTTAATGTTCTGTTTTCATGGGGTTTTTTAATTGTTATTTATTATTCATATTATAGAATAGACTCCATCAGCAAAGGTAAATTTCCTAAAGTGAATCTTTTCATTATTATTATTTTTGTTTATAGAGACAGGGTCTTGCCACGTTGCCCAGGCCGGTCTCGAACTCCTGGGCTTAAGCCATCCTCCCGCCTCAGCCTCCCACAGTGCTGGGATTACAGGCGTAAGCCATTGCGCCCGGCCCTAAAGTGAATCTTATACGGGAAAATTGTAAGTTGAGCTGTAAACTTCTAGAAAAGAAATAGTTAAAATGGTGGTCAATTCTATAGCATGTGGAGGTGGGGATGGGTTCAAGGAATTGGAATATTCTGCTGAGCTTGTAGAGCCACTCACCTTTTACATGTTTCCTCTTTGAGAACTCTGTCACCAAGATCACGCCACTCTGCTCCTTTCAGATTCCTCCATTCTCTACTTCCCTGGGTTGCAAAGGTTGGAGCTAGGCTGCAATACCAATGTCTCACCAGCAGATGCTGCTGTTACACATAGAATGTTTACATGTTAAATTGTAATTGCTCTAGTTTGAGGCTTAGCAAGTGAGCCCCCTCCTTCTTCTTCAAAGTCATCAGTTTCCAGTTCCATGGTGACACAAATGCTTAGAGAGGGCCAGTGCATATGCTGACCTCAGGGAAGGGCTGATCCCATGAGTGAACAGTCTCCTTTTTTCCTGCAGCTATGACATCGCCTTGCTGCGCCTGGCCCAGAGCGTTACCCTCAATAGCTACATCCAGCTGGGTGTTCTGCCCCAGGAGGGAACCATCCTGGCTAACAACAGTCCCTGCTACATCACAGGCTGGGGCAGGACCAAGAGTAAGTAGACTACGTTGGCACCATCCACCACAAGGATCTTGATTAGGTAGCTGAGCTTTTTTTTCTGGTTTTATTTATTTATTTATAGAGATGGGGTTTCACCATCTTGGCCAGGCTGGTCTTGAACTCCTGACCTCGTGATCCACCCATCTCGGCCTCCCAAAGTGCTGGGTGGGATTACAGGTGTGAGCCACCACGCCTGGCCTGGTAGCTGAGCTTTTAATGGAACCATATATATATTAACTGATGCATTAAATCAAGCTAAGAATGGGCTGTGAAACAGTTGAGAGATTGATAGACTCCTAGAACTAAAAAAGACTTTACCACAGAGAATTTTTTTTACCAGTCCCTCATTTTTTTAAAATTATTTATTTATTTTGAGATAGGGTCTTACTCTGTTGCCCAGACTGCAACTTCTACTTCCTAGGCTCAAGTGATCCTCCCATCTCAGCCTCCTAAGTAGCTGGGACTATAGGCATGCACCACCACACTCTGTTGAAATGGAGTCTCCCTCTGTCACCAGGCTGGAGTGCAGTGGCGCAATTTCAGCTCACTGCAACCTCCACCTCCCAGGTTCAAATGATTCTCCTCCTCAGCTTCCCAAGTAGCTGGGCTGTGAGTCTATTGGGAAAAGCTGGAGCTAGGAGAGACACATGGTTCAAATCCAGCTTCTGATCTCAGTTCATTTAATGTTATTGTGGTCCAGTTTCTTTCTTTTTTGTTTTTCTTTCTATTTTATGTAAATTTTTGGTGCTGCAAAAGAAGCAGCACTCAAATATAAATTTTCTCAGCAGGGCAATTTACTTCTATAAAAGGGTGCATCTGACAGATGGAGCAATGGCGAGCGCACACCCAAACAGGGGAGGGGAAGGGGGATTCTTATCCCTGATGCAGGTAGCTCCTACTGTTGTGCTGTTCCCCTATTGGCTAGGGTTGGACTGCACAATCTAAGCAAATTCCAATTGGCTATTTTAAAAGGAGCAGAAGTATGAGCCAGAGTAGCGGGGTGAGCAGTTTGGTGGGAAGGACAGTTACAGAACAGGTAACTAAAGGTGACTCAGGTGAAAGCAGGTGATCAGTGTGAGTCAGGATGAAGTACATGATCAGGGGAACAGATGTGAACTACTGATTAGAACTGGTGGAAAATGTTGTTTACTAAAACTATGAGAAAGTTAAACTTAAAATGGAGGACAAATAACTGAACATACTGACATACTGATTCTTTGAAGAGAAATTTACAACTCATTGTATCCAACATTCTTTCTTTCTTCTTTTCTTCTTCTTTTTTTTTGAAACAGAGTCTCCCTCTGTAGCCCAGGCTGGAGTGCAGTGGCACGATCTTGGTGCACTGCAACCTTCACCTCCTGGGTTCAAGCGATTCTCCTGCCTCCACCTCCCAAGTAGTTGGGATTACAGGCACCCGCCACCATACCCAGCTAATTTTTGTATTTTTAGTAGAGATGGGGTTTCACCCTGTTGGCCAGGCTGGTCTCGAACTCCTGATCTCAAGTGATCCACCTGCCTCAGCCTCCCAAATTGCTGGAATTACAGGCATGAGCTGGTAATCCAGCCCTGGTCCAGTTTTTCGACCAATAACATGAGAGTTTTGTAACAGTCCAAATGAAAGTGCAGAGGCTTTGAAAAGTCAAAAGAGCAAGATAAGGGAAAGCTGCACCAAGCTCTTAAGAAATGGAAACGAGCATGCACAATCCCAGTTCTACTCTATGGAGCTTGTCGTGTAAGGAGGAAGCAGAACAGACAGATAAATCATCCACAAATAAGACCATTCCATGACCCAACTAAGTTATCCACAGGTGAGAAGAAGCAGGAGTAGGGATGGTGGCTTGGAGCCTAGGTACAGTAAGCAAGGCTGCCTCCCTGAGGGAAAGGAAGGGTCCTGTGTGGCCATATAAAGAGAAGACAGAAGGATCCACCACAAGCAACAGGTGGAGAGAAGGAGTGTGGCCTGAGTTCAGCTTTCACCAGAGTTTGGGACGGTGTGGCAGGGGTGGAAGGTTTGTCCACTGGACAACATCTGGAGCTAATCGCCAATGCTGTGTGTCCTGTTCAGCCAATGGGCAGCTGGCCCAGACCCTGCAGCAGGCTTACCTGCCCTCTGTGGACTACGCCATCTGCTCCAGCTCCTCCTACTGGGGCTCCACTGTGAAGAACACCATGGTGTGTGCTGGTGGAGATGGAATTCGCTCTGGATGTCAGGTGAACACGTGCAGAGGGTGTCGGATGTCCCACCCCAGGTCCTGCCACTCTGTGCCTATCCCTCCACCCCTTTTCTTCACCTTCCTGTTCCACACTTACTCTTGGTTCTACACAGACTCAATTTTCTACTCTGGTATGTAAGTGAGAATGATTCTGTGCTAGTAACTCTATATTCACAGAACCTCAAAGTTGAAAGGAACCTTAAAATTGATCTCGCTCTATGCCCTCACTTCAAAGCCTGTACGTGACCCAACATTTGTGTGTCGTTGTTGGTATATGTGTGTGTTCTTAGAGTTTGTTACCTAGATTAACAACAGTGATGGTGGAGCTGGGCCTGGAGGGTGGTTGTGATGGTGTATGAGGCAGCATCCTGTCCCCCACCCACCCATTAGTCCAACTTCTCTTGCAGTTCCTCTACCACCATCCCTTTGCCCCAGCGGTATTTCTGACATTATGTACAGGTGAGTTTGATAGGGGAAATTGCACAAAATAATTTTTTTTTGAGACAGAGTCTCGTTCTATTGCCAGGCTGGAGTGCAGTGGTGCAATCTCGGCTCACTACAACCTCTGCCTCCCAGGTTCAAGCAATTCTCCTGCCTCAGCTTCCTGAATAGCTGGGACTACAGGTGTGCAGTGCCACGCCCAGCTAATTTTTGTATTTTTAGTAGAGACGGGGTTTCACCATGTTGACCAGGATGCTCTTGATCTCCTAACCTCGTGATCCGCCCCCCTCAGCCTCCCAAAGTGCTGGGATTACAGGTGTGAGCCACCATGCCTGGCCACAAAATAATTTTATAATAGCTTATTTGTAACAAATATAACCTTCCCCTATTTTGATGAGGTCAATCAGCAACAAACCATCTTGCAGATTTCTTTTATTATTATTATTTTTTAATATAGAGATGGGGTCTTGCTTTGTGGCCCAGGCTGGTCTGACTCTGGAGCTCAAGTGATCCTCCTGCTTCAGCCTCCCAAAGTGCTGGGCATACAGGCGTGAGCCACCATGCCCCACCCCAGATTTCTTAATGCAGTTTAACAACTGTTCATTATGTATATACTACATGCCAGGCATTGTGCTAAGTGCTAAGGATACAAAGATGGATCAAACAGCATCAAGTAAAGGAACTAGAGGAGCAGACATACAATAGAATATTGTAATACCGTGTGGTTAAGTGTTCATAATAAGATGTACACCGCCCAAGGGTAGGTACTCACCTCTACCTACTGGAGCCGGAAAAGACCTGCCTTCCCCAAGAAAGTAGAATCTGTAGTGGGTCTTGGTGGGTAGATAGGAATAGGCTAGGCCAAAAGGAGAAAAGACATTCAGAGGGAGGGAACAGCATGAATAAAGGCATGGGGCCAAGAAGCAACCCAGAGTACATGGAGAATTATGGGCCATTCCCTAAGGCTAGAGTAGAGCAGAAAGCTCTACTCATGGGCTGGAAGCCCATGAGCCAAATCTAGCCCACTGCTTGTTTTTATATGGCCCATGAGCTTAGAAGGGTTATTACATTTCTATTTCTATATATATATACATATGTGTGTGTGTGTGCGTGTTTTTCTTTTTCTTTTTTCTGAGACGGAGTCTTACTCTGTCACCCAGGCTGAAGTGCAGTGACAGAATCTTGGCCCACTGCAACCTGCACCTCCCGGTTGCAAGCAATTCTCCTCCCTCAGTCTCCTGAGTAACTGGGATTACCGGCACACACCATCATGCCTGGCTAATTTTTGTATTTTTAGTAAAGATGGGGTTTCACCATGCTGGCCAGGCTGGTCTCTAACTGGCTGGTCTCGAACTCCTGACCTTGTGATCTGCCTGCCTCAGCCTCCCAAAGTGCTGGGATTACAGGCGTGTGCCACCACGCCCGGCCATTTTTTTCTTTTCTCTATTTTTTTTTTTTTTTTTTTGGAGACAGTTTCTCTCTCTGTTGCCCAGGCTAGAGTACAATTGTGCCATCACTGCAACCCCCACCTCCTGGGCTCAAGTAAGTCTCCCACCTCAGCCTCCCTAGTAGCTGAGACTATAGGCACACACCACCACGCCCAGCTATTTTTTTGTATTTTTGGTAGAGACAGGGTTTCACCGTGTTGCCCAGGCTGGGATTATTACATTTATTAATGGTAAGGGAAAAAAATCAGAATAATAATATGTCATGATACATGAAAACTATTTAAAATTTCTGTGCCCATAAATAACATTTCATTGGAATACAGTCACAGTTGCTCACTTACAAATTGTTTATGGCTGCTTTTTTTTTTTTTTTTTTTTTTTTTTTTTTTCTTGAAAAGACAAGGTCTGACTCCATCACTGAGGCTAGAAGGCAGTAGGGCCATCTTGGTTCACTGCAGCCTCAACTTCCTAGGCTCAGATCATCCTCCTTCCTCAGCCTCCCAAGTAGCTAGGACCACAGACACATGCCGTCACATCCAGCTAATTTTGTTTTTTGTTTTTGGTAGTGACAAGGTCTCACTGTGTTGCCCAGGCTGGTCTTGAACTACTGGCCTCAAGCGATCCTTCTGCCTTGGCCCCCTAGAGTGCTGGGATCATCGGTGTGAGGCACCATGCCCAGCCTATGGCTGCTTTTGTACTACAACACAAAGTAGTTGCAACCAAGACTGAATGGCCTGCAAGGCCTGAAATATGTACTATTTGGCCCTTAACAAGAGGTTTGCTGACCCCTGGGCTAAAACAGAAGCTACCACCATATTAGGAAATGTCAGGAGATAAAACTAGAGAGTGAAGCAAGAGCCGCATAACTCAGGGCTTCAAATGCCATGCTTGGGAACATATGCTGTATCTCTTGGGCATCGGGAAGCCATCGAAGACCTGTAAACAGGAGACTAGCACAACCAGATTCACCTTTTAGAAGTGTTCTCTAGGCATGCTTTTGAAGAGGGCAAGAAAGGCAGGGAGACTGCCTCATATTGCAATGATCTAGGCAAGAAATTTGGAGGAAATGTGCCTGAATTAAGGCAGTGGTGATAGGAACCAGAGGAGAGATGGAGGAGGATCTGGAACAACAGCCAAGCAACTGGTGTAAGTGATTTGTGGGAGGGCGTTGCTGCCATAAATGAAGCAAGGTTTATAGGATTTGAGAGAGAGGATGATGAATGAGTTTGGTTCTGGACAAGCTTTGTCTGAGATCCCAGTGGGACATTCAGGTATAGCAACTGGTGAGAATTTTTTTTTTTTTTTGCAAAGCACAGTGGCTCACACCTATAATTCCAGCACTTTGGGAGGCTGAGGCGGGCGGTTCACCTGAGGTCAGGAGTTCAAGACCAGCCTGACCAACATGGAGAAACCCCGTCTCTACTAAAAATACAAAAAATTAGCTGGACATGGTGGCACATGGACCTAATCCCAGCTACTTTGGAGGCTGAGGCAGGATAATCGCCTGAACCCCGGAGGCAGAGGCGGAGGCTGAGATGGTGCCACTGCACTCCAGCCAAGACAACAAGAGTGAAACTCCGTCTCCCTCTGTTACCCAGGCTGGAGTGCAGTGGCATGACCTCAGCTCACTGCCATCTCCACCTCCTGGGTTCAAGCGATTCTATTGCCTCAGCCTCCTGAGTAGCTGGATTACAGGCATGCGCCACCACACCTGGCTAATTTTTGTATTTTTAGTAGAGACAGGGTTTCCCCATGCTGGCCAGGCTAGTCTCAAACTCCTGACGTCAGCCTCCCTAAGTGCTGGGATTACAGGCATGAGCTACCGTGCCTGGCCAAGAAGTTAGATAGAAAAAGTGGAGCCTAAGGGAAGAGCTAGACTAGAGATACCCACTGAGAACAAATCAGATCCCATCTCAGGGAAAAACTGTACAATGAGAAAAGAGCAGTGGGTTGGGAAAGAACTGTCAGAACATAAATAGTTGAGTGTTTCGGGGGTAGGTGGATGACAGAGAAACTACTAGGATCTAAGAAAGGAGAAGTAGATGTGAGATAAACAGCGGGTAATAAGGGTGTTACGAAATCTCAGGAAGTAATGACAGATATCACATAATACACAATTCAGCCAGAAGCCACAGTAGATAAGAGCTGAAAGTGGCCACTTTGGCAATTGTATCCTTGGCAAGAGCAGTTTCAGTGGAGTGGTGAGGGCAGAGGCTTGTTTGAAGGGTAAGGAATGAAGAGGCAACAAGAAATATAACCAGCTGGGTGTAGTGGCTCATGCCTGTAATCCCAACATTTTGACAGATTAAGGCAGGAGGATGGCTTGAGCCCAGGAGTTAGAGACCAGCCTGGCAAACACAGGGAGACAACATCTCTACAAGAATTTTAAAAATTAGCTGGATGTGGTGGTGTGCACCTGTAGTCTCAGCTACTTGGGAGGCTGAGATGGGAAGATCACTTGAGCCGAGGAGTTTGAGGCTGCAGTGAGCTTTGATCACACCATTGCACTCCAGCCTGGGCAACAGAGTGAAACCCTGTCTCAAAAGAGGAAAAAAAGAGAACAAAAAAAGTCTGGTAGCTTTAAGGACAGCAAGTCATGGAAGGGGTGCATCTTTTAAGGGAAGAAAATTGGCCAGGCGAGGTGGCTCACACCTGTAATCCCAACACTTTGGGAGGCCAAGGTGGGCAGATCACAAGGTCAGGAGTTCAAGACCAGCCTGGCCAGCATGGTGAAACCCTGTCTCTATTAAAAATACAAAAAATTAGCCAGGCACGGTGGCGGGCACCTGTAATCCCAGCTACTCAGGAGGCTGAGGCAGGAGAATTGCTAGAACCTGGGAGGTGGAGGTTACCATGAGCCCAGATCACGCCACTGCACTCCAGCCTGGAGAGAGAGACTCGGTCTCAAAAAAAGAGAAAAAAATTGGGTGCATAAATACGCAGAGAGGAAAGAATCCTGTAGAGTCAGAGAGGAGAAGAAAGAGATGGAACCAAGAGCACAGATGGAGCTGGCTCTCAACAGGAAGAGGGATATCAGATGTGCACACAGACATGGAAAAGTCTGCAGGATTTGGTGGCTGGGCGTTGGCAGGTGTTCTACATTATTGTT